GGTTCGTACCTTGTGTTATCTATATGCCATAAATTCCGACGACCTTGTTGGCTTGACCTAAAGCACTTTTCGTCGGAAAATATAGCGTATGTAAAATCAAAGTCTCTGTATGCACGAGCAAAGCGCACACGAGCAGCTTTTTGTTCCTGTGTGATAATATTTTTTTTAGCGGGTCGTCTGTGATGGGCTCCCGCTCGGTGCAACTCATTTCTAATAGTTTGCATCGACACTTTGTATTCTTGTGCGAAACTGCGGGTGGGTGTGAAGGGGCTTTTCTGATAACTATCATATTATGCAATTGGTCTTCATTTATAGATCGGCGCACGTAAGGCAAAATGATCGATTTACGACGACAAAAATATTTTTAGCGAAAATTTGTTACATTTAATTATTTAAACATATTTTTGCATGGTCACATGGGTATTACCTATACTAAGCAGTTTGACGTTTAGTAACTCAAGCTATGGACGTGTAAGTACTGATTTTTAATAAAACAGCTCAAAATAATTCGTAAACTTTATATTATTAAAAAAAACATTATTAATTATCTTCTTCGTCATCGTCCTCCTCATTCTGATCGTTACCTAAATATTTTGGCATCGTTAACATATTCATAATAGTATCATTAAAACTTTTCATTGGTATTTTTCACTGATCGATGTTGGGGATCAGAGTTATACATAGCCAGTGTAAAATGTCCGTGTTAGTATTAATTCTTGAAGTTTTTCGCGAGTGCATGAGTCGTATGTTTTTATATTCTTTTTGAGAGGCTTCCAATACGTCCTCAGATAGCTGACCCACAGGCAGAGGTAGAGGTAGAGTACTTATGATGCCGCTGCTGTAGATAAGTAGTTTATGTTCTGACGCACTCACCTTGTACCATCCATACAATTCAATGCATTATTTTGCTGTTTCCATGCAATATGGTTTAAAAAGTTTGTATGTTGATGTAATGGCAACTGGAAATTGCCTTTAAAATATTTGAAAACCTTTCAATCAATTCTTTATCGATTCCAGTAATTTCAGTCTCTGGATTTTCAAATAATTTCCGTGCCGTGTTGCCGTCATTTGTGTTTCCACCTCCTTGCTTAGGTTGGTCCACTACTAAACTCATCTTCTCGTAAAATAGGTCCGTTATTTTTTTCTTCTTCTCTTTTACTCGATCCTTCAATGTAGTGCCCCTAGCTTGCCATTGTTTAATATCAATTTCGGCATTTGATCAGTGATTTACAGATGATTTTTAATTAGTCGTTCATGGATACGCTGGTATTGTTTCCATTTTGCAAATAACTTTGCCACAAACACTTTGATTTTTAATTTGACCGATTTTTCAAAGTCTTTACCATATTTTCAAAGTTTAATTGGTTCAAAGTGTACTTAAGTAAATGTTCAATGCATTTAAGGAAAGAAAAGGAGAATGGGCATTATTGTATGAGTTGTGTCCCAACCCTTGTAACAAGTTGCGACTAGTATAAACATGTTCATTTAACCTTTCTTATAATCAATATGCCAAGGTTTTATTGTTATCGCTTGCAGGATAAAAGTTATTGGGTTTCAAGTAGTGTACGTTAAACATCGATAGTTTGGTAATCCGATAGTATCGATAGTTTTACTAAAAGCTATCGATAGTATCGATAGTCTATCGATAGTTTAAAAGGTTATGGGACATCAAAAAAATAACAAAAGTTATAAGAAACGAAGAGTTTTATTTTTAATTAAATATGAAATAACAATAAAAAATCAGCCTGCATCATTATTAAAGTAACAAATCAAACGTTGAAATATTTACAATTTTGTTTTATAAACAACAATTCCTTTTTTCTTTTAATCTGTTTCTCCGTTCGGTTAAAATTTGTCCGGCCTTCGAAAAAATCCTTTCCGAAGGCACTGAAGATGCTGGAATAGACAGATAGAGCATCGACAGTTCTTTTAATCTATTGTTATTGTATTTCCAGTATGTTATAGGACACTCTTTCCTGTCAATAACTGGCTTCTCCAGATATTGCCTGATATCTACCTACGAGTTACTTAACGGTGTCGATACGTCCAGAACGTCCAGGAACCCCAACAGGTCATCAGGTGTTCCTGAAGACGTGGATGGTATTGGTTGTTGGGTTTTTTCAGCCAAGCGTTCTTTTGATAAATGGCTAGCATAGGCCTTTTCTAGCCACTGAACAGCTCGCTTCTCTTCGTCACTAGTTTTGAACCCCTTCTTCTTAAATCGGGGGTCCAATATTGTAGCCAGTACAACAGGTGTCCTGTTTTCATACGGACTTAGTCTTTTGTCAACTGATCCCTTCACGCATACTAATATTTTCTTTCCGCTTTCAGTAACAATCTGAGATTCAACTTCTGCCAATTTCGTTTTTATTCCACGAATCAATGGTATTACCAGTGACAATGTTATATAGCTTTCTCCGGAAATTTTTGTCGTAGCTAGATCGAAAGGTTCCAGAATCTGAATTGTTTCTTGAATAATTCGGTATTCGTCAGCATTGATTCCTGGTGGAGCCCGATTACATTCATTAAGTGCGAGAGTTAATTCTGTCTTCATTGTAACTAGTCTCTGCAGCATGTGATATGCACTATTCCAGCGGGTAGGCACTTCCTGGATCACTCTCAGTTCTGCTTTGTTTAATTCACGTTGAATAGCTCGTAATTTATCGCTAGCTAGAGTACTCATCTTGAAAAATGTCACAATGGATTTACATTTTTTCAAAATCTGGTCAAAGCAGGGCACAGCAAACGAATCAGTCACCGTCAGGGTTAGTGTGTGCGCAAAGCAGGGTATATGTCGTATGTGCAGTTTAACTGCGGCGTTAATCATGGTTTGAGCGTTATAAGTTGTTATTGCTTCACATTTTGACCTGACATCCCATTTTGAAAGAGTAGCATCCAACACCTGAAAACAATAATAACAGTTTATGTCCGATGATAAAGAAACACTGAATTGTTAGGTATTATTAAGGCAATGAAAATTTAAAATACTTACACTGGCTATATTTTCTGCGTTGTGACCACTTTGTTAAACCTTGTACCAGCTTATTCCACATTGTGTCATATTGTTCCACCTTTGTTCTTCCTTGTTCCAAATTGTTCAATGCAATGTGGTACAGTGGGGTACAATGTGGTACAGTGTAGTTTTCTACGTCTGTGAGTGTGTTACAGTGTGGTACAATGGGGTACAGTGTGGTACAAGGTAATACAGTGTGGTACAAGGTAATACAGTGTGGTACAAGGTAATACAGTGTGGTACAAGGTGGTATAATGTGATACAATATGGTACCACGTGTGAAGATTATCTTTTTCGCTACTGGTGAAAACCGCATGAAAATCCGTTCAGTACTTTTTGAGTTTATCGCGAACAGACAGACAGACAGACGGGCGGGGGACTTTGTTTTATAATATGTAGTGATAGTGATAGGCACTCACCGACACGTAAGTATTTATAAGTATTTTTCTTATAGTAAAGTCTAAAATCCTCAGTCTAGTGAGAACCACCATCGTACCTATTTGGTTAGTAGTAGATAAGATACTTCCATCATCTATATCATAAAGGGTGCAGTAATTGATTCTTTGTAACAGATTACAGTGCAGAGCAGTGGACTAAACATCCAAAGGATGTGGGTTTGAATCCCACCTGAACGATCTGGGATCGGTCGATTTTATCTAGTATATATTTATTTTTAACATAGAAAATAGCATTGAGAATACAAAAAGAAAGTAATAAAGATTACATTCAACTTGGAAGTAATTATAATTTCATTGTAACCGATTACAGATAGTTCAGATTACTGGTAATGCAATTACTTGTTATCAGATTAATAATTGCATTACATTGTAATGGCATTTTGCCCATCTCTGGTGTTAAATCATTAAAACTATAACCACGTAGTTTATCAGCCTAACATAGAAGTAATAAGTATGTAACTCAATCTATTGTCCACCTGAGAGTAATGTAATGGGTTAAGTCTGCCATTATTAATAATGTGTTCGTTACTGGGGTCAAAAGATTCTCATAATTAAGAAGTATAAAATTATTAGTTTTCCTTACTTCATATGCAAAATAATGTTCATTGAAATCTACGGTTTCTAAAGACAGGCATAAAAAAAAGATGTCTTCATTTTCTGTAACAAATATTTCCTGTATTTGACGAAAAATAGGTAAACTTGAAAACTCACATAGGTTTTCCGTGACTACAGAGAATTTTTTATACATATACCTTTTATTTTCATCCAAGACATTGAATAGATGGATTAGATGGTTTGGCATGAAGACGGAAAATTAGGATATTTTTGCTGCAAGTCACGCATTTCTAAATCTGGTATTTTCTTCTTTACTCCAATTTGGACAAATTGTAATGGACTGTCATTTAAAAATAAATCATTAAGCATTAATTGGTTTTTAATTGCAATCGTTTTGCAAATGTTCACTCGACTTGATGATGATCTCGCAATAAATTTACTTATTCTGTGTTTTGCTTCAAACCTCATTGTCCAAATTTGAGTAAGGGGGCCATATTTTTTAAACATTTCGGGATAATGCGTTAGAAAATGAAATTTTGGTGTCAGGTGGGACTGACTTAAATTGCTATACAATTCATTTAATTCAGATACCAGAAACTTAATTTGTTCACTTGTGTCACGGTAAACGTTGTGAGTCATAAGTTTATCTAATATACGACGTAACGTGATATAAAGCGACCAAACATCATTTCCATCTGGCACTTGGTAACCTACAAGAAGACCAAAGTAACGAACTAAAGTAAGCATTTCAGAAGCTGAAGTTTTTAATTTAATAGCTGACCCGTCAAGTATCACTGCATTTGTCGGTTTTGAGCTTGAATCTGGACCGTAATCAAACGTGCGCAACTTAAATTGCAAGTTATTTACAGAAATAAGTTTATATTTTTGTACCAAAGTTTCTATTACAAATGTCATTACATATCGGCAGCATCCCTCAAAATAGTCATGTCAATAACCCTAGGTCATTTAAGAGGCTATTTATGGCTTGTTTAGTTCGGTCAAACTTAGTTTTAATTTTATAGAAGCCAATTTGGATTACATGCCAGATGTCCATACATTCTTCGGGGTAACAGGCCCCAGTAGCATGAAATATTTTAAAAGCAGCATCCACTGCTGTGACTAATTTTGGAAAATTGTAACAAGTATTGTTGATGATAACATATGAAGCCCTTACAGCTGCCAAAGATTCACCCACGAAAATAATAAAAGGCTGTAACGTTCTTCCAAGTCTCTACAGCTTAGCTCGTCTTGATTCAATTACTGAATACACCTCCGCCTCAGATGCTACCTGTGTTATGAACCCGTCGCGTATTTCAGAGCGAGATGGTTTCCAGTATTGTTTGCCTCGTTTTCGAGTCGGACATGTCCCAATAACGTAAGCCAAAAGTATCAGCGCCACATTTGTATATGTCTCATTATCAGCGTCTGCAAAAACATTATATTCATTGTATATTTTAAATTTGAGTGACTTAGGCTACTTTTTATCCCACTGCTGGACACTGAAATAAAGTGTAATTTCGGCGAGCAAAGTCGCGGGCAAAAAGCTCATTTTACTTTAATTAAAATACATCCTTAAAAATCTACTCTCTGCGGGTATTATTAAGGCAATTATTAAAACAATGTAGTATAGTTGACTTATTGCACGTATATGTATAACATACACATTATGTTCTCTTTCATATAACCCATTGGGAAAAATCTTACCTTCAGTGAGGTTAATGTAATTTAATATACACTTCTTTATATCTTTGTCCCTCGTCGTGTTTTCTTTGTCTCGAGCAAGCCGTACAATTTTCTCCCGTAGCAAGACAATATTGGAAAAAAGGCCATCATTTTTATTTTGGTGGAGGATTTCAAAGTCATGTAATAACTGAAAATATAAGAAGGAATAATACAGGGTCGGAAAAATATGTTTTAAAAAACATACTACCAAAACACAAAGAGCACCAACAAAAATAAAATATTTATGTATTATGCATAAATAACTTTTAAAACTTTTACAATGCAGTATGGACCTGAAACTACCAACCGATCTACCAGCCGGTCTTTGCGTTCGGGGCAATGGGGGGGCGCAAAATAAAAAAATAATAAAAATTAATAAATTCGCGCTAATTAAGCACAAATTAATATATAAAATTGAATTTTACTATGTTTTGGATTTTTAAGGACCAAAATACCTACTTCACATTATGAAAATTAAAAAAATATATAACGATTCGATCAATAATAAAAGAACATATAACGCTAACTCCGATCTAGCTCATTTTTTCCTAGGACCTTTTTAACATACCAGAGAATAAGTAGCTGTTGATATTCCGAAGAATAAAGACTCCATTTTAGTAATTTGGGACTTAAAAAGTCTACATAAATTTTATTATATATTTTTAAGTCCCAAAATACCAAAATGGGTCTTGATTCTCCGAGATATCGATAGCTACGGGTCCCTTATTATGCTAAAAACGTTCTAGGAAATAATCAAGAAGGTCCGAGTTTGCGTTATATTTTTTTATGAATTTTCTAAGTTTTCAGACTAAAACGTATGTAGATTTTCTAAGTCCCAAAACACGAAAATGGGTTCGTGATTCTCCGAGATAACGATAAGCTACGGGTCCCCTAGTATGCTAAGAAGGTTCTATAAAAGAATCAAGGAGGTCCGAGTTTGCGTTACATTTTTTATGATTTTTTTAAATTTTCGTACTAAAATGTATGTAGATTTTCTAAGTCCCAAAACACGAAAATGGGGTCTTAATGCTCCGAGATATCAATAGCTACGGGTCCCCTAGTATGCTAAGAATGTTCTAGGAAAGAATCAAGGAGGTCCGAGTTTGCGTTATATCACTGTTGCCCCAAACGCAAGGACCGGCTGGTAGCTCGGCTGGTAGTTTCAGTTCCATCAATGCAGTTGCCCGGAAGGCCCCCGTTACATGGAAGGAAGACTTAATAATTTGTTAAAGATTTATCAAATCATCATCATCAGCCCATTATTTTCTATTTCTTTATACATACCAACATTTATTTTTTTCTCAGCTACTGCATTATAAACGTTTTAAAACGTTGAACAGGGTAATAAATATTTGAGTGGAGAATCAATTTATGCAATAGGTAAATAAAATGAAAAAATTATGAATGTAATGGTGTTTGCTTACCAGAGTATAACCCAGAGGCTGTGTTAGCGCTGGAAAAGTATTGAAATATTCTGAAATTTTTCCTTCTCCAACAATTATAGGTTTAAGGCGAACAGTTGCAGTTGCTCTCCAATATTCTTCAACCATTCGCCAGGGATCAATGCTATTTTGCAACCAAGTCAATTTTTCTTCAGATGTTTCATCATCTATAACAAAAAACTTAATTAAACAGGGTGATAAGAATACGATGTTTTATTTAAGGTGTAACAGTAGAATAAAAACATATTTTCCAATTCCAAAAGTAACAAGACAAAATTAAAAATTTAAATCAACCGCCGACATAAACGTGTGAACAGCCCTTTACAATTTCTAAGCTACAATCACAGAGTACTAAATTACAATAGTTCACAGAGTACTAATTAATATCATGTCATCTTTCAAACACAGGTCTTAAATCAAACATGCAATTTTGAAGCAACCCCTGACATCAAACTTGTGAACATAACTCTATAAATTTTAACTGACTTCTATGAGAATCTTATCAGCTCTCAAACAAAAAAATCGCATTAACGGTCAACCGTTTAATAGTAACATACTGTAAATCGACACACAGACTAAAAACTCAATAAACTACTGTCAAAAACCTGTTCGATCATGACAAATATCAAACGCAAAAAACCGCATTTAATTCGGTTTACTCGTTGACGAGCTAGGATGCCACAGACAGACACACAGACAGGTCAAACTTATAACACCTCTCTTTTTTGGTCGGAGGTTAAAAACACTATTTAATAGATAAGTTCAAAGATTGGTTGGGTTACCTAGTAGATCGATATCACTAGAAGTAACAGATACTGTTTCTGTGGTATCCGTACATGTAGATCTCGATGTTGAAGACGATCGGCTTGTACCTGGTAATTCCCCCCTGGACCGTAACTTTCGTCTGCAACTGATGTAAGATTCATACAACTTTCCACTGGTGTTTTTTTTATGACCCTTGTTGCCAGTAGCAGGTTCATAAGGAGAATAATATACCACAGAACTTTCTTGTTTAAACAGTTCCTGTATTTGTGCAGCTAAGTTTTGAAATTCACATGTTGATATTGCTCTGGATGGGTTCTTTTCAAGGAGGTGAAGAATAATAATTTGGCTCAACCTCTTACGGTCGCTTTCTTTTAGTAAGCCTTCAGCTCTTTTACCCTCTGCTAAAATTGCTCTGCCATCAGAACTACTCTGTGAAACAAATGAAATATTCTTGAAATCAGAAATAACAATTATCATAAAATAAGCTGCAAGCTTACTATACTAATGAATTGCATTTGGCAACTGAACTACCTCATGAATTCTGTATTTGGGAACTAACTACGTGGTGGATTCTATGTTCGGCAAGTAAACTACGTGGTGGTTCTGTGTTCGGCAACTAAACTACGTGATGGATCCTGTGTTCAGCAACTAAACTATGTCATGCATTCTGTTCCCAGCAAGACAATTGTTTGTAATCCTCACATTTAAAATTGTTTCAACCTATAACAAAAAAGAAATTGTGGTTATGGAGATTGTGTACAGGATGGACAAACATTAGCAGCAATATTTACTTAGGGTTTCCTATTAATATTTATAAAATTGATATTTGGATATCGTAAAGCCACCCTTTGAGAGTATTTAAATGAAAAAATAAAATAAAAATAATAGGCCAAATCATTGAGGGTCTTCAAACAAAATAATTTTCTTTTTTATCAAAATCTCGAAAGCCAGGTCATTTTATTCCTTTATTATTAGATCAACTCAAAGACTATCTTCCCCTTGAGTATTTATCTACTGTATATACTGTATGGACGTACAGACACATAATGGACCAATAGAAAGTTTTGCCCTTTGTTTAAGAAACCCTAAAATTTACTTGAATATGTAAAATAAAAATAAATATGTATAACTTACACTGTTGCTGCAATTTGTAAATTTCCTGATGCTTTCTAAGGACTCTGATATTATATCCTCTTCCTGTATTGAACTGCCAGCATCAGCATTTTTCGTTTGACTTAAACTGTTGCAAATTAATGCACCATTCTGTACTTCATAAGAAATGATTTGGCTTCCAATAGCACAATTTTTGTTAATATCTTCAGAGTCAAATATTTCTTGCAAGGCACTGTCATTCATTAACTGAAACAGATAGACAACTATATCTACTGAAATTACAACAGTGTAAAAACCAGAGCCAAACAGAATCAAACATTTAGTCACTTGTTTGAAGTCAGCATACATTGCAGACAACTATATTTACTAAAATCATAACAGTGTAAAAACCAGGGCCAGAGAGAATGAAACATTTGGTCACTTACAATACATATAAAGTAGACAATCTTTGAAAGAAGAATAATCGCAATCTTTTTTTTTATAATTAATCCCCAATAAGAAAAAAAAAACTTTCTTTTCAAAACACTTTCAACTCCTAAAGCTTAAAATTTTCAGCGACAACATATGTATGAATATATTTTGTAATGAATAGGTAATACATACACTGTTTTAAATGAATAATCGACCACATTACATTCAGACAGAGGAAAGTCATTTGTTTAACCATGTTGAAGAATGCTCCTATCTGCTTTAACCTAACAGGTCCATTCTCACTGGTAGGACATTAAAATGGGCTGGTATGATGGTCAAGACTTAGCGGTTCAGGAAAAATAAAATAACTAACCGACTCATTGAGCAATTTCCACTTTTTGAGTGCTGCTTTTATTTTCATGCGATGGCCGACTATAGGTATTAATTGTTGTAGTCCTTCATTATCAAGTATTTTTAATGCATCATCATCAATGCAATTATCTGTAAAATATATGGAATTATAAGTAAGAGCGCAGATGATTATAGAACCGAGATGCATTACTTTTCAAGGCGGGTGTAAGTTTCAGAGGTTTTATAGCGCGTGGTTGCTAGGCCTTAAAAGGTAGCAGCTGCAGCTGAGATGTTTGAATTCACTCTAGGCCGTGTGACTCCCCGAGGAGTAGAATACGACTACCCTCTTTCTTACCGAGGTGTCGTAAAAGGCGACGAGGTAAATATGCATGTAAGTTCACCAGCATGTACAGAGAAGGAAAATTGTACAATTATAACTATTAAAACCCGTGCAATTATATCAAAACCAAAACACATGGTACTGAGTATGGGATTTCCTCTCACGGAGGCAGTGGGGCTGGGGACGTGCCTATATGGGCTGATAAAGAAGGTAGGTACTTACCAATAAAGACCTGCGGATACTGTACCTTTAACGATGTTTCTTCAAGAATTTTTATTAATTCACACTGCCTCGCTGCTTCAGCCATTTTTATTACGTTTTATCATTCAGTATGTCACTCAATGTAACTGAGTATTATCAATTTAACTAAAAATGTAAACTGATAATACCCAGATATTGCAATAAAATGAAATACCAGTCGTAGTTTTTCAATCTATTACAATTTTCATTAGTGTTTTCAATGTAATTACAAATAAATTTCCAAAAAGAAATACAAAACACCATGACGCGTCTAAGAACCGAACACAGAATCAGTGTTGCCAGCGGACCTTCCGCAAAAGTACCGCGAAATCGGGGAAAAGGTAACGAAAACTGGACAGATGGTAACGCTTTCTCTTTCTTTACTTTTATTAGCAATTCGAAAGCAATCTGACATATGCACGATGTTCAATGTGTCTTTCTTATGAATGCTTTATTATTTTTATTGTGTTACAAAACAAAACAAACCACTCGTTGAACGGTGGCATATGCCAGATTGCTTTTGGATTGGTAATCGCTGAGATACGTAATTGACATCAAGCAAAGAATGTAAACTTGTAGTTTTTATATAGGCAATCGATAGCTTTTTGTATGTATATACCTCCATATTTTTTTATTTTTTTTAAAGCAGTATTTATTTAGTTATTTTAAATCGGGTGACTCACGTGATTTTTTGCCGGGAATGCCAACTATAGTTTCCCGGCTAAAAATCACGTGAGTCACCCGATTTAAAATAACTATGTCTACATCTCACGTTAGTTTTAATGATATTACAGTATTTATTTTTAAATATTTTTTTGAAAATTTTGATTAAACGTAGGACTTATAATTAAATATCTGTAATCTGACACAAGAAAATGACATTGACAGTCAAGTTTATAAAAGTGTTGCCAGATTTAAGAAATTTTGCCTGCTATTCTGGATTATTTTCGAACGTATGACCTTCGAACGATTCTACTTTTAGCGAAATTTCAAAAATCGTACCAAATGTTCTAGAGGTAATATCGCAGAAGTGGTGGGAAGCGCGCGATATCGGTACCTGAATCGTGGATGACAGTTAGAATTCTATCATGGAAACTTTCTTTCATGGTGGTTTGGAAAAATAAACACATAGAATGTGACAGTTGTTTCTCTTCCCGCGCAGATCGTAAAAACCGGCCAAGAGACTATGTAATGATGTAAAGGATCAAGATAATAGGCAATGTGGCTAGCAACCTATCTGTACTAGGATTCTGTTAGCGACGACCGTATGACCATCGACTTGCGAAACGTAACCTTTGGGCTTTACGGCTTTAAGATTTGTCTACCCAAAAACATGATGGTATTGATGGCCGCTATGTATGTAACATTGAAACACCAAATTTCCTGAATGTTATAGGTATTGCTTGCGAGGGTTTGGAGCTACTAAGTATGAACTATTGCACAATACCTCGGAATCCAGTATACTAACATCATATTTGCAATCGGCGCTGGGCGCGGCGTGGATTTTATATATATATATATATATATATGTTATCGGCCATTTCGTCACTTCACACTGCTTTCAGTGTCTACGGTCTTGGGTTCGAAACTCGGTGGTAACAAGGTTTTTTTTCGTTTTTTTTTTCTTAATAAAACGCCGAGCGAAGCTTGGTCACCCAGGTACTAAGTATTAAAGTTTGTATGTGCTATTTATTTTAATCTCCAGCATCATCTACTGAACTGACAATTTATAGGTGCCAAATCTGCTCAAATGGTAGAAATTTATAATCAAAAATGGTAACACTGTTTCCAGCCTGTTCTGGCTTGGAAAACGGTCTATACCGATGTCATGTCATTACAATGCAACGGTTTCTTTATATCAGTAAGTCGGCGCGTTATAATGTATAGTTTACATTACAGTCTAGTGTTGGACACATTATACGGTTATAGCACCATAAATAAAAAGTGATGTACCTATGTATAATTGATCGGTAACCTTACCAATGTTCCGACTACATTTCATTTTAACCGACTTCAAAAAAGGAGGAGGTTCTCAATTCGTCGGAATCTTTTTAGGGTTCCGTAGTCCGACAAGGAACCCTTATAAGATCGTCCAGTCCGTCTGTCTGTCCGTCTGTTCCAGTCTGTCACAGCACAATATTTTCTACGTTTATAAACCGATTGGCATGTAACTTGGTCTGTCGATACTTTGGATATAGATCTCAATTTTAAAAACCAAATAAATAAAAATCACCCCTTTTTAAGGGTACCTCCCCATGCATGTAAAGTGGGGTGGGGGTGAATTATTTTTTTTGAGCACACCCCCTTTTGTGGGGTATCGTTGAAAATGTCTATGAATATTAGGTAAAGTTTCCATACGATACTTTTTTACCAGCTTTACCATTTTTACAATTTCGTAAAATATTCGAATTACGTATAATGTAACGTGCACACAATACTGTTCCAGCAGCATTCTTTAGTTGTAGAGTATGTATAATTGATCAGTATCTTTACACAATTTTTCGACGACATTTTACGTAATTTCACACCTTTTCATGTCGCTATTACATTAAAATCGAGATGCGAACTACTTATAATGTAACGGGTAAGTTACATGGTACCAGAAGCATTATCTGGTTGCAGATATCCTACAATGGTTTTGTATCTTTACGCAATGTTTCAGCGACAGTATAAGTATGTGCAATTATTATAATGTACACTGCACATTATGGTCTATATTCGAATTACGTATAATGTAACGTGCACATAATACTGTTCCAGCAGCATTCTTTAGTTGTAGAGTATGTATAATTAATCAGTATCTTTACACAATTTTCCGACGACATTTTACGTAATGTCTTACCGTTTTTATGTCGCAGTTACATTAAAATCGAGATGCGAGCTACTTATAATGTAACGGGTAAGTTACATGGTAGCGGTAGTATTATCTGGTTCTACGGTATGTCTATGGAATGGAACACATACACAATGCTTAAACGACATTATACGCATGTGGCAGTGGTATACTGTACCAATGACATTATTTATCTGTATTTTACATACTTATACGTATCTATTAGTATTGTAATGATTTGTAATGTGTCCTTGTCCATAACAGATTGTTGGGAGCTACGAACTGTTAGGATTTGGCAACATGACTAATGAGGCTTTTATGCTTACGTACTTGACAGCGAATACATTACAGATCATGTTGCGGTATAAAACGCTTGAGGAATATGCTACATTATTACGTAATACTCAACAAAAATAAGGACACTGCTTCCTTATTTTAGTTTAAATTGCTTATACATTACGGTAATGTACGAACAGGCTCAAAATTTTTCTCAGTGTAGAGTTAATGTGCTTAGGGTATCACTGTTATATATTATAGGGGATTGTCCATCCATAACCACTGTTATTTCTTATGAAGTTATGAATACATTTTCCCTTCATACTTTAAATCTGGCTTAGGACAGGCAAAAATATCTAGGTAAGTAGATCAAACAACACCATCGTATTTTTGGCGTATTTAAAAAATGGAATCACACCTATTTACAACGATTTGTAATTTGAGTATTACGACGATTAATTTGAGTATTTACTAGAGATGCACCGAATATTCGGTTTCTATCCGGTATCCGGCTTATCCGGCCCTTTTTTACTATCCGGCCGGATACCGGATGGTAATGTACTATCAGGCCGGATACCGGATAGTAAACTTGATAGATTTTATAAATAGAATCTAAATAAAGACACAGTTGTAATTGAAGCTTTCTATTATTTTAAACAGCTTTAACTTTTTATAATAAACCAATTATTTAAAGTAACTTGGTGATAATACTGATAGTTAAAAAATGTACTTATTTGTAACTAGTAAGTAATAATAATATTAATTAATTTAATATTGGAAATCCACCAAAGGTAAATTATGATGTATAAAAACAAGATTTTCAGCATTTTTAGGAAGCAAACGATTCCTCTTGTTTTCATATACAAGCCCAGCCTCTGAAAACAGTCTCTCGCTGTACACACTGCTACATGGGGAAGAGAGATATATTTGGGCAAATTTAACCAAAATCGGGAATTGTTTGGCGTTTGCTGCCCACCATGCGTAAGGGTCACTTTTTCGATCAAGAGGAACCATTTTTAAGTAAAAGTCAAGCTCATTGGCTATAGCAGTATTATCAGAGTCTTCAGTTTGATTGTTATCTTTGACAACTTCATTAAAACAGTCCCAAAATGAATCATGAACACTCATGGAACTGCCTGCTCTTTTCTTCAATGGAGGTGAATCGCCTCCACTGCTGGATGCATCCTCTTCACCGCAACTCAGTTTTAGACCCTCCAATAAGAGGCTTTGGCGAGCCTTTTCTGCTTGTATTACCCCAAAAAAATTAGTCTTGAACCTGGGATCCAATAACGTAGCCAGGAAATACTTTAAATTTTCATCAAGATGTTCGAAGCGTTGTTGCAATTGAGTTTTTAGGGACGTTAGAAATTGCAATAAGTTAGGGACTTTGCGTGAAGTTTCTTCCTTTTGAATGTACCTCATCAAAACTGCTACATGTGGTATAACTTCTGAAATGCACGACAGACCTGAGCTCGTGATCTTCGTTATTTCCTCGAACGGTTTGAGGAGAATGATGCATTGCTCCATTAAATTCCATTGCTGAGGAGTCAAGTTGCCGAGTTTATTGTGGTCGGCAATATACAGAGAAACAGCTCGTCTCTGTTCTAGCAGCCGCTCTTGTAAATAGTACGTCGAGTTCCAACGTGTACTGATATCTTGTACCAACCGATGTTCCGGTAACTTTAACTCTTTTTGAATTGCCTTCAGTTTCTCTTGTGCTAATGCTGAATGATTAAAATGAGTTACGATGCGTCTTGCGGCATTCAGCATCTCTACTAAATCAGGTTGAGTTTTAAGTGATTCAGTAATGACCCGCTGGAGAGAGTGAATAAAACACCTAGCTGAATCGTATTCAGCCACTTGAACTCCTTTTACCATATTAGCCCCACTATCGTGTACAATAATATGTATTTTATTGAACGGAATATTCCACCGTGCAGCAATAATGTTAAGCTCGT